TAGTTATAATCCTTCGTAGTGAGTCGTCAGTTAAAACTAGAGAATGGTACTAGGAAATTTTTAGTAACCAATCAACATACTGTTGTTTCCCAGTTAAAGCTTATTACACAGACTTATTTGCATCTTATCTGTGCCAGTCAGAATACAATCCAGCATTCACCAGTCCAAACTTCTGGTTCTTCTGATGTTTAGTAACTGTTATTTTACAAACAATCAAATCAATTTCTCCCAGCGGATAGATTTTACTTGTTTATGAAGAATTTAAAATAGGACACTCATTTTCTTGCCATCTGCTACCAAATACTGGAACTATTTTTTCTATTATGAAGTCAAAATACTCAGACTATTACGAGCACAGATACTAATCAATTCTATTAAGTTAACGAACATAAATTATCATTTAAAACATTATGTTTTTAATTTAAATTTAGGCCCTTCTTCGAATGGCATTAAACGAATTGTTCTACTCAATGGATCTGGCTTTGCACCATGGGCAACATCTCATCAAAGTGCATCAGTTTTAGATGAATTACTGAAACATTTTAATATAAGTACACAAAGTATCAAGAACAACTCAACCTTGAATGAAATCCAATCGAGAAAAGATCAAAACAGATATAAATCACTATTTGCACAAGACATAAACGTAGATACATTCGAAAATGTTAGCAATACAAAACATGCTGGTGATTCTTCAGTTTCCAGAAATAATATTACCTCTACAAGTAATAATTTACCAGGACAGTTCATAAAACATTTATTCCTAAAATTAAAGAATTCATATGTCGAATATTTAATAGATTTACAGAAGAATTTGTCTCATTCGCTCGTGACAACACGTTTAGGACCAGTGATATCTAAACACTTGTTCCCAAGTTACCTATTACCTAATAGAATTCTGGATAACAATATTAATGGGTCTGGAAAACAGCCAGCCAATTATTACACCAATTTACAACAAGAAACTCATCGGTATGAGCAAAATTCGCCTCACTCTTCTAATGATGACAGTGAACTGAAGTACCGGACTGAAATGAAAACAAGTTTATTTATGAATGCTGACTTGATGGTTGGATGGACTGAGTCACCAGTATCCAATCTATATTACTTACAAAGTGCTTTACATTCATCACCATACAGTTTGTTATTGAATAAAATTGTAAGAGAACTATATCCGAATAATCAAGATGTGATCAAGGAGATCATAGAGCACATCTATTGCCATTCGAATGAAGTCCAAGAAGCTGATGACGAATTCAGCAATGTTGAAAATGGTTCACCAAGTAATAGTCACTCAAATGAAAAATTCAAGGATAATGGATGTTACCAGGTAGGTAAATAGAAAGCTAAACAATAATACACAGAACCAATTATCCCTCTGATATTATTCTATACAAGAAATTTGACGGCAGTAGTTTTGCTTAACATTAAGTGCTTTTCGACTTTATTGAAACTATGATCAAACAAAGCTCTTAATAAAGTAAATTCAAAACCAACTGAACATTTGAATTAAAACATTGCTGGTGACAGAATTAATTTGTAAGAAAATAGCTTATTTCAAAGTGTACTCACAATTACAAATTAATAACACTCTGAAAAAGAACAACCGAATGTAAAATACATAAGCAAGTCTATAAATTTTCTCTTTTAATTGTGTCTAACCACAAACATCTATTCATTTAGACTGAAAAATAACCGTATTCATAACGCTTAGAATTAAGAGCTACAAATATGATCATGAACTGATATCCGTTAGAGGACCATTGAAAACGTGGTAGTTGTTTCGTTCTTGTTTGTGACGTCTCACTCATGAGCCCAATAAGCGATCGAACCCAGGACCTTCAGGTTGCGAGGCTGGCTCATTGACCATTCAGCCACTGGGATAGGAAACCAACGGCCCATGAAGATTTCAGATTCAAACATAGGTGGGTACTGATGAAGAGTCCCAAAAAAGATGAAACAGCCGCCAGTAATCACTGATTTTCCAATGGTTCTCTGACTGATATAAATCCATGGTGGAACCCGAAACCTATCCCATCCCTACGAACTAGCACTTGGAGATTTAGAGTTAGTTAGTAAAAATTTGTAAATGAAAATCTACTAGCTGAAAATAAAGTCTTCAGGAAGTGAGGAAAACAATCTAATCTCATCTTAGTCAGCTGACTTTCACTGGTTAACAATTCACATAAATAACTTCCATTTTCTGAAATGGCAAGATGTCACAGATTTGATATTTATGAATATCTTTTGCACCAGAGTATTGGATTTCGATAATGACATTTTTCCTTCGATATCGTACTTATGCCCTTCTAACGAGTACTAACAAGTTCCAGACTTCAGGAGCAATCGTTTCCAACTAAGCACACTAAATTAAGGTGCAAGAAGATGATAAGTTTCTTAGCCTAATGTGCACTTAGGACAAGGTGTCCATGTCAATGGCTCTCTTTTAGTGAATAAATCACAAATGAGTTTACACTATAAAATCATTTATCTAATACTGAACTAAATATTTGCTTAAATTTTCGCCCAGTTATTTACTTAATCTCCTTATTTTTTCATCGTTTTATACTGTAGAAAATGCAAGAAATACTGTCTGACGGATTATACATTGTACCAATTATGCAAACACTAAGAATGCACGCTAAAAATCAAGTGAATCAGATAGTTGACAAGCGAACTAAAACAACTTTTCCTCAAAAAGTGCAAATGGACAATGCCAGTACAAATAGAAAATCTACTTATGCTTTATTCTTTAATCATAGATCACCTAAACAATCTGTAAGATATACAGCAGTCAAGGAAGAAGGTAACCAAGTGCATAAAATTGGTTTCGGTGATGACCTTCCATATCTATTCGGTGCACCTTTAGTTAGTCCAAATCATTTAGAGCCATTTGCTAGTAGGTTTACAGAAATCGATAAGAAAATATCAGTAAATATTATGAATTATTTAACAAATTTTATACATTATGGGTAAGTGATTTAGTGGTCTAGCAGTATTTCCATGAATTTTTGCTTCAAAGAGGTGTTATTTATTGTTTTTTTTGAGAAAATGCGGAAACTATCGAATGTTACTGTAATTTTGAATTAGAAATGTCCTCTAAATCTCTCCTCTGAACGACAATGATGTCAACTATCTGACATTATTGTCAATAGGCTCTTCAATTCTTGCAAGCAGTTGGCTGAAGTTATCTTGTCTGATACCGAGCATCCTCTTTATTCACAACTTTTCCCTTCACGTAAAGCCGGAAGAAACTTCATAAGAATTCACGCTCGTGCAGCTACTAAATATAAAAATTTCACCATACCACCACATTTAGCAAGGGTTTTATGTCAAGAATCGGGTGTCAGAAACGCACTTAAACTCTTTGGCGTTCAGTTACTGATTCAAAGTATAAATAAAGATTATTATTACATGTATTATCTGTTTATAGTTCATTATGTTCCCACTAACAATCAGTTTTTTGTGATTTCATTATTATTTTAAATTTTATGTATGTACATATTTATAAAGGGAGCTAAATTGTTGCAATATGTATAAAAACACTGAAAATTCCATTCCGCATAATTAATATTGTTTGGAATAAAGTGACATTTATTATTATTATTATTTAAAGCATGTTCAAAAATCTTGTAATGATCCTTCCGCAGGTTCACCTACGGAAACCTTGTTACGACATTTACTTCCTCTAAATAGTCAAGTTAGATCGTCTTCTCGGCATCAGTCGAGCGGCAAAGCAACTGCAACGACACCAATCCAACGGCTTCACTAAACCATTCAATCGGTAGTAGCGACGGGCGGTGTGTACAAAGGGCAGGGACGTAATCAGCGCAAGCTTATGACTTGCAATTAACAGGAATTCCTCGTTCACGGGGAATAATTGCAAGCCCCGATCCCAGTCATGACGGTGATGAAACAGTTTGCCCAACCCTTTTCGGGCCAGGTTCCCAGACTCGCTGGCACCGTCACTGTAGCGCACGTGTGGCCCCAGACATCTAAGGGCATCACAGACCTATTATCGCTCAATTTCGTACGACTTCGATGTGCCGTCTGTCCCTCTAAGGTGACTGGTAATATGAGGCTAAGACAAAAAGAGGATGCGGATGTCAAATGACCCCTTTAGTGAATTTTTTGTACTCACTTAAGAAACTTCATGAAAAGAACTATTTTTAGTGCAATTTTCTACTTACACTTATAAAATTTGTATTTGTTAGTTATCGTTCCACATCCTAAAGCTTAGAATTCGAGTTGATTCATATGCGAAGCATACCATTTACTTTCACGCCTCAATGACTGTTCACTATTTGTAATTTTTTATATGCAGTAAGACAGTTATTCTCATATATGTGAAAGCTTGAGCTACAGAATAAAAAAGAACCATGGAAAAAGTCTTCCCATCTTTCCTTCTTCAGTATTCAACCAGCCACTTACAGGTGTGGAAAAGCCGAGTAAATATTGAATAAAAAAGTAGTAAGTTGCATTATCACAAAATCTGTGCCACCTAGCTTAATGTCTTATTGTGAAACCAATCTTGGAATTGATCATTTCTCAACAAACCCAACAAGGTAATTTCAAGATATTTCACTTAGGCAACTAACCTCCAGGTGGATATACTGCAACTTTTATAGAAATTCACGACCAGTAGGCTCTACTCACAGATGAGATTCGATGACGATAGTGTCATATATCACGAACTGTAAGTTACTGAATTTTGAGTCAGTGGCTGTATGGTCATCTCATAAGTAGATATTCTTGGCCTCAATCCCCAGAGAAATTACAAGTAATTACCGTTGATGGAACCCGAAAGAAGACGTATAATATAGCGCTCCTTGATTTCTAATGATCATTTTAATTAATTTTAGCTTGTGATGAAATGAAATTTGTTTGCTACTTATCTTTTCAAATATCAATCATAAAATGAATATAAACAATTTAAAAAGAGTTGAGCAATTCCTTAACAAATATACTTTCAACCTTTAAATTTACTGTTAAATATAAAGTGATCCAAATAAAGAATTTATTGGACATCAAACGAAGAAAGTACCAGTTCATTGGCCAGAATATACTTCGAATTCTAAATCTTATTTAAGCGTTGGTAAGTAATAAACTTATATTTATCCTTTATTAGAGTAATTTATTGATAAATAAATAATACATCCTTATTTTCACAGTCTAGAGAAATTTATGTATACATATACTCTGAAATAAATTGATGAAGGCCTAATTGGGCTGTTTTCTGTATTTAAAATACCGCTATGCAATCCAGTATATCAATATTAGATGAACAAAATATTCAAATCATTCACCTAGAACTAAAGTTGACGATACAAACAGATCCCACGATTATTATTATTATTCCGTTTTGGTTCCGAGTGGAGCATAAGGCTTCAACAACACATCTCCACTTTCTTCTATTTTCTGCCGTCCTATTTGGTTGGGCCCACGACAGCTTATAATCTCTCATCTCCTCCTCGCACGATCTCCTCTATGCCACTCTCATACCGACGACCCACTCGTCGCTTCCCATTGAGATTCCACTCGAGGGCCCGGCGCGCGATGCCATTCGATGGCCTCCTCAATGTATACCCGATCTATCTCTATTTACTTCTGCATATTTGTTGAACGATCGGCTCTTGGTTCGTTTGTTCCTAGAGTTTCTTGTCACTGATTCTTTCTGACCGGACGGCTGGCCATAAAATTCTGTAACTTGTTAGAAATCCTTTTCGTGACACGGCAAGTTTCTGACCCGTATAGAAGAACTGACTGACTGACATAACATTGGTGTTGAAAATCCAAACATTGTTCTTTATGCTGAGTGATAGCAGAAGATTTCCAATAGGTTTCAGGTTGATGAACGTGCATCTTGCCTTTCCGAATCTAGCTGGCTTTGACATCTTCATCCGTTCCGCCCACCTGTGGTTTAAACTGTGCTTCCTAGCCAGATAAGTGAAGGAAGTAACCTCTGTCAAATCTCTCCTGTTGATGGTGATTGGTGCTGGTGGTTGTAGTTGGTTATCTTAATCATTTCCATCTTCTCTGTGTTCACCTGGAGTCCTGTCTTTGCTGCTTGCTTCTTTAGCGAGTTTTTTGGTTTTCGCCTGTAAGTCTTCGAGTTTGCGTGACATTAGACACATATCATCTGCGATATCCAGGTCTTCTAGTCTTCTTATCGGCGGTCCAACGTATTCCTGTCTTCTCACTCCCCACAGCTTGTGTGTTGAAGTTTCTGCAGCAGTTTGATTGGTTTTCTACGATACGGTCGCTAGTTCCGTGCCCAACCCTCCCTCTTTTCTCGGGCTTGGGACCGGCTAGGAAACTAGCGAGCTAGTAAACTCGTCGAGGTCCAGATTTCACAATGGTAACTATAATTTAGACTTCGTTTTCCAGCAGTCTGAAGGTTGCTTGATGCGTTCTTCATACACACAGAAAACATTCATCTGAAAATTACTATCTATGAAGAAGAAGACTACAGGGGAAATATATTATAAAGCTAAATGTAATAATCTTTTTGGTTTCATTTCTTATAAATACATCGCATGTCTCTGGGGATATTGTTTCCCAGTACTGTTTAACAGAAGCCAAAGCCTGAAGGGTAACAAAGGCTTTTCGGTTCTTCAGAATGATTTTTAAACGGCATGTTTGTGATTCTTTCAATTTTTGAAGACGATTTGGTTCACTTTATTTTCTTTGAGTGATTATTTAACATTAACACAACATTGATTTTATATCATTGTTTGATAGAAAACATAAAAGTTCTTTTGATTGGTGTAATAACGAAACAGAAGTTTACTGGAGAGCCGTTATATACAAGTTTAAAAATAACTAGCATTCAGCTGGATGGGATAAATAAGTGAATAAAAATCTATAATCAAACTGAGTACAGCTAAATTGTATTTTATTTAGCTCAATCGATGAACTTTGGTCAGTTTATAAAATATGAATTGACAATCATTTGACAACCAAATGGATAATGCAGTGGGGCCTTTAAGATGACCAAAAAGCGTCTAGGAAATAATTGTATCGATATATTTGCATTATTACGGTTGATTCTCCCCCCATATAACCTAGTATTCCACTTGTCATGTGAACCCCAGCTTGGGTAACGTTTGTTATTCCCCACAGCCTAGGTTAACAGGTAGTCCGCTTATAGTGTTACTATATCTGCTGATGAACTGAATACATAATGATTTTGGCAGGCTATTTTTCACATTATAGGTAACTTTAAAGGAATAGGTCCTGCAGATAATATAACCAGTGTCGACCAAATGTTCATTTATTGTGCTTCCTGTAGGTCCACTGCCACCTCTTTGTAACCACCAAGAGAGGGTTCTTGCATCCTTTGGACGGGATTCGCATTAAACGACAGACATATCTAGCGTCCATACGAACGGGTGAACTGACGAATACACAGAGTTGGTCAAGTGCGAGATCTTGTCCTTCAGGTTATTGAACAGTAATGGTCGATTGGGAAAACCTATGCTCAACGACGCTGCAGCTAAATTCCTTTACAGGGACTATGAAATCATTACTGTTAGGATGTTGGGAGCTAGGTCACCGTTTCACTTCACGATTCATATGTAGCAGTTTCTCGGATGCAGGAGTAAAAGTACACTTAGTAGGTTTGGGCGGTATATTTCTGCCCATGAAGATGTGGTGGATATCCATTTCTAACAGTCCTTCCAAAGCATCAGGATTTACCTTTCTTATTAAATATTCTGATGTTAACTTCTACACAACACATGAGATAGTTTCAGCAAACGATTAAGCGCCATATTTTAACGCTGGAGATTTACAGCCACAAAATAGGATGGATTATACTACTGTGCAATACGCTTAACAAATGATAATTAAAAGGTATCACGCCTATATCACAGGTCGTGCAACTTAGAAATAATCAGCCTTTCTATCCATGATACGATTTCGCTGTACCACAATCCGACAACGATTATTTAACCTAAGAATTTCGGATATTAGACTAAGTAATTGTGACAATACTTCATGTTTATTTTTCTTATTATTTATATGTACAATTCTCGATTTTTGGCAATTATCATTTAACACGCCAGTTATAATATTATATTCACTATATATCAATATTATTATCATCGGCACAGGTAGTGAATCGAAGGAGACACCATTATTTGACCAGACAAAGAGACAATTTCGAAACCTGTGGGGAAGCAAGGAAAATGAAGAAAATTTATTCGCAGTTAAACAACGCTATGAAACTGAGAAACATAGAATATGGTGGAAATTATTACCACGTTTAACTTATTTGCCTAAACCAGGTGATGACAAGAATAATGAAAGTAATGAATACCATTCATATAATAGACAAAAATTAACGAGTGAATACTTTTATTTCCTTCAATTGAAACAAACGGATTGGTCTTCTGAAACCATGGTGAAAACAAAACCAACTTCAAATTTTTGGCAAAATAACAATCAAAACGTAACATGTCCATTGAATTTTGTTGAGGATATGAAACCTTTAAAAACAGAGATTAACATTCCTGATATATCATATTCAGTTAATTTCAGTCAGCTACCGTTATATGTAGAAAATGTAAGTTGCAGTGATATATTAACTTATGATCTAACTTGAAGACAATCTAATTTCTGCAAACGAACAATTGACAATTAATTTAATGCTCACTAGTGACTGACTGTAGAATGAATTTGCCTAGAGGTGTAGTAAGAATTCGTCGCCGTTGAGATCCATCAAGTCGGGTGAGAGGATGAGAACTTGTCTGGGACGTTGGATTGAGCTATTAGATTCCATCCCGCAACCTCAATGGTTAACATGCTAGCCTAGGAACTTGGAGGTGTTGGGTTGGACCTTCAGCAGAATCATGGGTGCCTACTTTTGAAGAATCCCAAATTGGAAAGGAACAGTTGTCCAGTGCTTCCTGGTTTTCAGGGGTTCTCTAACTGATATACATATATGTATGTATTACTCGTTAACATCTGTCTGTCTGTTTTCGACATAGAACTTTGCATCGATGTGCAACAGTTCAAGTCGCCACACTCCATGTAGAACACAAAGCAAGAGAAGAAAGTAGGAGAAATGCATAGTATAGACAGTAAAGAGATGTGAGACAAAGGAATAGTAATGACGAAGAACAATATAGTTTCATTGGAAATCATAAGTCACAAGGAGTGGATGCATCTGCGCCATTGAGAACGATTTTGAGCCATATCACCAATTGTTTCCAGCCGTTGGTTTTTACCGTCCCGAGGACCCCAACCAGGAAGTCTACACCTTCCTACGTGGCTTAAACTAACTGTTGTGGATTTCATTGATTGGTGCCATGTTTTGGTTTGACCACCAGCTAGCTCTTTTCCAGCCTGATCCTATGTCAGCTAACATTGCCCGTCGAGGAAGGTGATGACTAGGTATATGTAACACATATCCTAACCATCTCAGTCGATGTAACTTCACAACCTCGTCGATTGATTTCCTCTCCTTACCTAGTACTCGACGCCTAACCTCAATATTGCTCACCCTATTATACCACTTCACACTGGAGATAGAACGCAGACATTTATGATCAAAGACAACTAGCCGACCTTTTCACGTCTTCTACTCTCAATGGCCAGGTCTCACAGCCATAAAGGAGGACATCATGAACTATCTGTAATTTCAGTGGGAATGAAGATCACTCAAAGAATTAGAATTATACACTGAGGACCAAACACCCAAATAGTGCATTTTGTCACACAATAAGTTTTACCACTGTGTGTAAGCTATTGATTCAACCCAGAAATCACTTTATAAACAATCAACTCCTTGAAAACTAGAATTGAATAAATTTATATTTAACAGAGTAATGACCAGATATCAGATGAAAACGCAAAGAAACTGTCAGACATTGGAATTCATTAGTTTAACCATCATATCATCAGATTCACATTATTCTGTCAGATTAAGATTGCTGTTTCGAATAGTTCCATCAACCTTTCTCTATTTTTTCTATGTTTTATCCTTTTTAATTACTTCATAGGACATTGATCACCACACAAATATGATGACATTATCAACGCCTAGGGGGGCCTATAGCGGTATGCCGGTTGATTCAAATTCATCTACAGAATTTTATACAATTAAAAGAGAAGATGAAAATATTGAATCAAATTCACAATCTTTGACAGTAGGATTTTCATCTGATTCCTATTCAACTTTAATATGGATTATAGGTGCAGGATCAGTATTATTTTTACTCAATACGTTCATATTCATTGCAATATATCATCAAGCGCATCAATTACGTAATGCAAATCTCTCTCAACAATCAAAACCAACAATGCAAACATCTTCAATTATATCAGGAAATGGAGAAGTGGATAATACACTGTATCGAAATTCTGCGCGCAATACAAGTCCATTAAATAAAAAAGAATACAGTCAAATGAAATGTAAAGATGACGGAATCACTAACCTTATAGGTACAGTAGACTTATTGAAAGTGTTTCTTTATAAATTACTCTTTAATTTGAGGAAATTTCATGATAGAAATATAGGGAACCTGATGGAATTTTTCAAAACTAAGTGGTATTATTAGCCCCATAAATTGCACTGCTAACACAGTTTATTGCACGAATAACCACAAAAGAATAAATAAGTTGTGTTATATTGCTTATTCTTATAGACAAGGATACGACCGCAGATATCACCCAGACTTATAAAACCATGGTAGAATATGCTGTTTTTTATCTTGACTTAAAGGAGCTAATTAGTTCTTGGATAAAGAGGTTGTGAGACAAGAGAGCAAATAAAGTTGGACTCAACGTTCGATGGTACATATTGGGGGTGGGGGTTGTGCTCAATGGACTGGATGGTTTATTTCCGAAGCTTCCACTGTCTTTCTAGACAACATATTCAGTACAGACTTCAATATGTTGCCGAAATAGACAATGAAAGCCCATAGAATAGCACTGCACTAATTTCGTCCACCTGGAGTACACATCTCCATCATTTCTCAATCCTATGATAATATATACTACTGACTAATATGACTAGCGTTCGCTAGTCAGATCGTTTGGGACCGACACCAACAGCTCAGGGAGCCGAATCACTCAAATTCTGGCCAGCTAACTGAGCAAACTGGTAATATGTAGAATCAAATTAGCGATTTGCAAATCTCGCCTCCAACTGTGTAATCCACAATTTAAATTCAAAAGTTAGACGCAGTTTAATGATTAACTCTGCTGATTTAATTGAGAGAAATGATTGACAAATATGTCTATTGGCTGGTAACTTTGGGTTTCAGAGTTTCGGCGAGTCGTTTTAAATCCTGAGTTAATGGGTGGATTATTCTGTTTTTATCTGTGCATTTCTGGATGATATATATACGACTGGTGCGAAATTCACGTAATTATCTGTTCCTCTCATAAATGAGAACGCTTGAAATCTAGCGAATGTAGCTTTTTTGTATTCTACAATTACACTACAACAGTTAAAACTAGTTTCGACGGGACTGTATAATTCTTCATATTTACATGCTTCAATTATTTTAAATACGCTAGTTAGTAATACTGTTTCACCAACTTTTGAACACTATAGAGACCATCTTTCTAGCTTCATATTTGCTTGGTAATGAGCACTTTTGTCTTCCATTCTAATACTAGCCACACGCACAAAGTGGAAAGCCAAAGCAATGGAGAGGCATACATTCAAGAACTCATATACCAAAAAAAGAAGACGACAGGCTCTGTGCAGAAATGTCAATGGGACATTACATGCACCGAGTACTTTTAATAAGTTGACTACCGAGAGCTGACAAAAAACTAATTACTTCCAGATAACAAAAAGGATTTCTTCAGCAAAATGTTTCATGTTAGCCTATATGTATCAGCTTATATACTGAATAACTTATGCTTACTTTCTCTCTTCCCCTAGGTATGAACGATAGCGAATGTACTATAAAAGTTTCCTCACCAATAATGGCATCATCGATGTCAAAACACCATCAACAAAATAATACATCATCCTACCCAATACAGAAATCTCAACAGTTTGATTACATTGCATATCGTAACCCGAATAATTCATTACTGCACGAAATACCAACAAATGTAATGCATATTAATGATAATAACAATAATGTAAACTTGATGAATTCATGGTATTCTGAATCACCGTCAGTTATTGGACAAGCAACAAATACAATTAATAAAACAAGATATCTACTACATCCATACAGTCACGAACAACAAAGTATACAATCAAATATCTATTTGAATCACTGAAAGTAAAGTAAGATCACCTAGATGACTATAAGTGAAGATGTACTTATAAAAATAAACTGATATGTACAATGATATGAGTCAAGGCGAATGAATTCTTTCTCATTCTATTAACAGGTTCTTATTATAAAGTAATTTACTTTTATGTCTCCATTATTTTGATTCTACGTCCACATAAACATAACATAACATACATTCGTAGAGTGTAAATAAGTGGTTGGTTTAGAATCAAACTCGTCATTTGAAAATCACACAATACTACGTGAGAATTCACCACAGCTCCTTTCGGAGACCGAAAATATTCACATCGCACAATGTGATCTGTTTGGTAGCATACCAAGGAGCTAGCCTATCTGCGCGCTGATTATATTTGGGTACACCAGTGCTGGGTTCAGCATCAAATGAGTGAGACGGTAAGCCCGGTGTTTAAACCACTTCTCCCTAGCTAGTTAGCACTACCAGTTGATACGGTTAGTTTCCAACTACTCATAATAATTCAGTAATACAAAATTAAGCAGATGAACAAATTACTGTGTAGTAATATACACGCTGTCATATATGGAAAATAAATTCACATTCAACAGCATAAATTTGAACTGCGAGAACTTCAGCGATCAATCAACACGTTATCAAAACCTAATCTTAACACAGTAAAATTAAAATTATGTATTGTAAGTAATTGTGGTTGGTATGTTTAGTCATTCACCTCCATCGCTGTTTGTGTCAGTCCCATTCTGATGATGACAGTACACACAGTAGGATCAACAAAAGGCCCTTAACTGCCTGTACTGAAATTTCAGATCTGTATTTCCAAGAGAACATCAAAATTAACTGGGAAGTAGGTAAAACCAACTGACTGCTTTTAAGTAGCATGTAACTCAGAGTAGCCAGTATTCAACATCACGAAACTCATGTTTTAATACGAAAAGACAAAATGATTGCAGGGATAGACATTGTTTCATAGTCTCGTTTATGCTGATGAGTAAACTGTCATAGCCTTATCGGATAGTTTCATTCTGTATGTAGCCGAATAGGATAAGTAAGCCTACCTCTTTGTTTGAATGTATTTTTGTACATGAAAACAATAAACTGATTGTGCATTTAGTCGAATGAAAAAATATCTATGCAATTAGAGACCAGATTTTATCTTTTGAAAATTCAACAATCCACTAATCTTACTTAGTACGAGTATCTTATTTCGTTCACAGTATCATTATTACTGACATCTCATTTCAGTCGATTACATTATTTTCAAACCTAGTTATTCTGTTAGATTCCGATAAGATTGACAACATAAGTTCATACAACTTGTGAAATTATCCTCAATTGCGTAGAGAAACGAACTCCCAATATGCGAAACCTAAGTTGAAGGAATTTTGCGTCGGTGGCATAGCGGTTAGGACGCTCGCCGACCATGCACATGGTCCGGGGTTCGATCCCCGGCCACCGACGCACTCCTTTACCTCGCTAAACCAGAAATAATGCTGGTGAAGAGGAAAGGTTGGGCATGAGGCTAGTAACCCCATTCTGTAAAATAAACACTGCGACAGAAACTTCAAGCCACGAGCTTGAAGCCCTATGTTCCACTATGGAACGTGAAGGATTAAAAAAAAGTTGAAGGAACTCATCAGCATGTTTTCTACTGTAAGCAAGGAAAGTGTTTGCATAGTACCTACAGAATATTCAATACAGCAGACACGTGTTGGGAGTATTCATCACATTACCATCCTCTTTTACAAGTTATCCTCTCTGAGTAAAATACTGAATAAAAGTGTACAGTTTTGATTCTTAACAACCAGATCTCTAGCAATTAAAACAGTTATTGTTCGTCTATAATAAGTAAGTGTTCCAAGTTGTACCATTCACTGTAACAAAATAACAGTCCGAGAAAAATGGAGGTGTATCGGACGCGCACTGGGGAGACTGTCGAATGAAATCGCACGCCAGATCAAGGCTCGAGTGAAACTCGAACGGGAAACGAGAGGTGGAGCGTCCGAGGGTGACACGGATGAGATCGGAAATTATAGGCAATCGTGGGGCTAGCTTAAGATTATCTTACAGAATAGGACAAAGTGAAGCTGTGCTGTTGAAACCCTTTGTTCCACTAGGAACCCAAAGGAACAATAACATGACTTGGATCAGTAAGCGATTACTTCAGGGACCATAGCTTTAAACTTTTTTTGATCTCACTGAACTTATATTGATTCGATTACACTATTAGTTACATCGTAGTGTCGTACTCTGTAATAGAATTACTCATTGGCAACACTAATTTGAGACATCCATTATTCTTCCATAATAAACACATATCCCATCGATCAAATTCGTAGGATTTTTGTAGAAACAGAACATATTCAACTAGACACAAGATACTGATAACAACGTTTACCTTCATGAAAACAAAAAGTAAGTGAATTAAAAGTCAATCTGAACGAACAATATTCTTTTCAATAATTTCTCTTCAGGTTCTTACAATTATAAAATATAATATTTATTGTCGTTACAATAATGGCCAGTTATGCAGCGGATACATTTTTAACGTAGAATAACAGATTAGTTATGGGGTGTCAAAATAAATAGTCGTAATTGTGTGACAAATGTGCTAGGCTGAAATCGATTACAATATATTCGTCGTAATTTATGCCCTTCATTCTCTCAATACGACCGAATTTTCCATTTATACTATCCGGACTTATTATTATTGATATTATCTCTTTTCTCAGTATATACCTCCACCTGTTTCATTTCACACATTCGTTATTTCATTATGAACCTCTCATTGCAGTTTTGCTATCTTCTGTTTAATATATACCACTTTGTACTAGCCACTCACCTGACACCTTTCTGTAACCTTGATCTGACTTGTCAATTTCCCTACCCCACACTCTACAAATCTATTATGACTAGTCACCACCACAATTGTCTCCCATTTCACAATATTTTGTAATCGATTTCAGCCTAGCACGTTTGTCACACAAATACGACTATTTATTTTGACACTCCATAACTGATCTGTTATTCTACGTTAAAAAATGTATCCGCCGCATAACTGGCCATTATTGTAACGAAAATAAATATTATATTTTATAATTGTAAGAACCTGAAGAGAAATTATTGAAAAGAATATTGTTCGTTCAGATTGACTTTTAATTCATGATATGGGAATATTTCACACTATTAAATATTAAAAAGTAAGTGGTTCATACTCTAAGACATCCTTCTTAAAGGTACATGTTTACTTGTCTCAGTAATATCCATTTAAGATCACCCAATGAATATTACAATCTAGTTCGTTAAAAGAAACTACCTAGTGCTCAAGTAGAAAAATGAAAACAGTATTTCGTATGTGGTCAATTCAATATTTTATTCTTGTTGTCTATTCTGAGGACATGTGCACTCACATAAATGTACATAAGTGGAAAAGAGAGGCAAGTTCAGTAACATTAAAAAACAGATTTACTGTGAATTTCGTATTTTCAGAGGACACCATAAATATTATAGTAAGCAAAATGTAGAAGCATAGCAAATAAAACAACTATAAAGGAAATTAATAATAAAAATCTGAAATTTACAAAACGATTGGTAACTTCAGCATTGAACTGTTTACTTATTTTTCCATTTTGATTAGAATAATTGAAAAGTGAACGAGGTGGTAAAAGAATTTTAGCCTCTTTAAGATGCTGTTTAGATATTCGATTAGAACCATCTTGTCGAGCTAATTGAGCGGCTTGTTGAACAATCTGTACAACTTCTGCCCCGGTATAATTGTTCATCTCATTCTCAGCGAATGAATTCAACCATTTACATTCTACTAATGATTCATTTTCAAGTGCACGTTTTGATAATTCTAGTCGCAGAATATCTAGTCGAGCTGTTGCATCTGGAGGTGGAACTTCAATGACTAAATCAAAGCGACCTGCACGACTCAACGCCTGGAATTTGGAAAAAAAAGTTTCTTTTTAGTAATGTAATGCAGAAATTGACGTTATGGATGCAAAAGTGGTTACTTGGAAATCCACAAAAAAATCATTTAAAAGAAATTTACATTGACTTACTCCTTCGGAGTTTAAATCATTTTAGAGTGTATTACACATACAGGAATACCCAAAAAGAAACCTAACTAACAATAAATTAACCATCTTTAAAATATCTAACTGAACAAATTGGACAAATATGAACATAACAAGAAAGACAAAATGTACCAGGAGATAATATGAGCCCATATTTTATTATTATTTCGAGGATTTTTCTCAGCTAGCTACAACCTGAATACTGCAAAAATACAAATTAGAAAGGTATGAACACAATTTTCACTCGGCGACCACTATACGTAACATAGGTTCGGAATAATGTATGTTGTTAGATTACTAAGAGTTAGAAGGATTGACTGCTTATATCGAATAAATACACGAATATTCTTGAAAAAAGGGACAGATTTCACTTTTTGGAGGTAGAAGCAAAGTTTAACAGGGAAGAGTATATCAATACAATAGATTATGTGACGACAGGAAATGTGTTTTTAGATGATACTGAAAAAGGAGTAAAGTAAGCAACGTTCAGGTGAAACAATCATATTTTCTAAACAGAACAGAAGATATAAGAAAATGCATGAAGTAATCAAAATTGCGTAACCTTGTCTTGTAACTCTGATCATTAAGGTAGTGCTGTCTCTTTTTGCCTATGTAGATTCGGTTTTACCTATTTGATGGCGATTACCTCATTAAAAAGCAGTATGATAGGTTTCTTTTGATTGTTGATTATTTTGAACGCCTTCAGATGGTCCACAATATGATCACTGTCCAATAGACGGCGTGCAACCACATTATTTAATGCATGTGACACCTTTATTCTCGCGTTCTTGTAAAGGTGTTCAAAAATGTGGATAATAACTTTCCTTTCTTTGACATGTACATGCAAATTGGTCGGCGCAGTTGCAGGTAATATAAGGTGTGGCTTTGTTAATTCTTGATTACTCAGCGCTTGAGTGACAGAAAGCATACTGATCTTTTTCTACTGAAGACGTTTTGCTTACTGATGATTGAGCTATTAGGTTTGCGCTTACAAAAATTGTTAGCTTTGTGGCAACTAGTAATAGTAGTAAATAGGCTATTTTTTGAATTAAAAACTACTTATACACTATACACCAACGTGTGGTGAGAGCTGGCTGCAAGCTAAAATTGTAGGAAGCAATTTACGTCAATGTTACTTCCTTAACCGGGGTCATGAGGAAAACTATAATAACCAATCACAGCACAGTTAATGTGTGCAAATAGGATCTGCAGATATATGGCTTAACTTTCTGAGAAATGGTCACAAGCAGTACAGAATAACCTTCGGCAAGGAAACAACCAATCAGAAGGCGCTGCTTCTTTGCTGACAATAATGTACATAAAAATCTATAAATATCTCTTGGTTTTCTCAATAAACGATCTGTTGCCTCGCCTTTGTTTTCTGTCGTTACACATGTACACTCACTAGGAACAGACACCATGAAATATATATGACTTCAATTTTCGTTCAGTCAATGTCAAAAATACTACATTGAACTGGATAAACTAACAAATAATGATTACTTACCGAATCTAATTTGTCCATTCTGTTAGTTGCAGCTACAAGAATCACTTGTCCGTTCTGACCTTCAACTCCATCCATAGCCATTAAAACTTCGCCGAGAACATGTTCACTTGCACTGGTTTCTCTAATATAATCCAAGTACAAATAAGAAATTATTAAAACATGTGGTGATTTCATAAGTACAACAAATAGAATAAATATGTTTAGTCAAATAGGAAGGATATAAAATAACTAATGACAAAAAGAAATATTTCTAGAAGAGTAGTAATTTCAAGAGAAAATTTAGGTTATAATCAAAATGAATGATTATGATCTAATCTCCTTGTCAGAATCCAAACACAGAAGTCAGCAGTCGGAAAAACACTGAAACCAAAGTGGTGTGTAGAAGCAGAAGAGATCAACATTACCTAAACTAACACATAAAATCAATCTACGTTCATGACACTGAACGTCTTCAGCTGCCCATTGCTGGGTCTTCCAGTGATACCTATTAGGGAAGCATACAATTTGTTAAAAAAACAACAACAACGTATTGGCACAGTATTGAGCTGTACTTGAATAGCCCAAATACTCGAATATCAACACCACACGTATATGGATACGAACTACACTTAACATACTAAAGCCCGAGTAGTCAAGTAACATAACTACTTACTGACTAACTGAGTTTCAACTCACAATCTTTGCACTGGTGTGTAACCACTTCAGTTGCCATACTCCATGAAATGTACAAATGTAGAGGAAGGAAGTAATGAGTACAAATGTACGGGAGAAATAATAGTAACATGGAAAACATGAAGACTTAGTGGATCTAGAAGATATAAAGAGTGAATGCATTTGCGCCATTGAGAATGACTTTGAGTCATATCACCAACAGTCTTAAACCATCGGTTAATATCCCTATGCCTGATCACTATGCTCTCTGTTCCCCTTTTTATGCCTAAATATAACTAAGTTCAGGTTTCACCTCACCTGCTATTGGTCCGAACGATATCATTTGATGATAGATAATAAACAAAATTACATTCGACTAGACTGCTACAATGACAATCAGCTGATGATTACCTTGTGCAAAACTCAATAATGATAAACATTTTCGGTCACTGAAGGACTGCAAACTTTAGTCAATCGTATCGATTACAAAAGTACCAAAAGAATACGTATTACTAACCCTGAGTTTCGAGAAGGAAGTAACAGATCAATTTCATCAATGAATAAAATGGCAGGAGCAGAAGCACGAGCCTGTACTAGAATTCTTCGCATATTACGTTCACTGTCACCAACATAACGACCAAATATCCTTGATGCCTGGACAGCAATCAAAGGAAGTTGACATTCAGTGGCCAAAGCTCGAACAAACATAGTTTTTGAACAACCTAGATAGTTAGAAAAAAAAGATTGATTATATCACACCATCGAAGTGTTTCGGTGTGACATCAAGTGTCAACCTGCTTCCATGAAACAACAAACTGTTCCAGTATTATAATATACATAAAGAAGAAGAAGAGTGGATTAATCATGAATACTAATCATTTATTGTTTGGAAGAGTGGCGTAGTTTTCAAGTGACAGGTTTCCCTCTAGTTTTATATAACATGAGTAGTTATTTTCGAAAAGGACGGTAAAATATCATCTTGTTATCACAAACATCATAACTAGCAAATGATTCAACGAGTTCTACTGACTGGAGATTTTATCGTATCACAATGGTTGGAGAAACAGTCGTAAGTCTAAAATTAGTCAGCAGTTTAAGTAGCGAACAATAAATGTGACGGGGGTTCGATAGTGCAGTTGCCCTTTTGGTAGATAAAATGTAAAAGGAGCGACTTTTTTCTAACTGCCAGTAAGTCATTTACGCTGTTTCCACACTGTGAAGACTGGTTACAAAAGATTTGCCTCAAAAGTTGTGCACGATAGATAGCAACAGAGAACTTTGCTAAAGATAGGTTTTAAAACAACCAGTCCCTTTCAAAAATTTAGATATTATTACTAGAAGATGGAGATTGTCTGAAAAATGTGATGTGATGTGCAGTACAGATTGTTCGAAACGTATTGCGCGAATACATCATATTTTTCAGATAATTTCCACCTTCTAATAACACTATCCTGAGGATGGGTTCCAAAACCAGTCTCCGTCATAAGTAAAATGGACTCTGTATTCACACAAAAGTAAATCTTTCAGATACAATAAGAAGACATTAACTTTCACTATGTGGTTATTCATATAACCTAATGTAAAAGTACGTCAGTTCAGGTTATCTTGATTCGAAATTTCATAAAAAAGAGATGAGCAAAATTATATTAAAATTACTGGAATCTAGACAGTAGAACCAGAAGATGAATTTTATCTAAAACGGCAACGCAGGTGGGTAGTACACTCCCAGCAATTTGACTGAGTAGTTACTCACCAGATAATTTTGCAGGAAAAAATTAAATGAAGTCAAAGAGAGCAGTAACGGTGGTAGGAAACGCAAGAATAAGAAATGTAGTAAGGGGGGAATAGTGTGTGTGAACAAGCGGACCCTCAAGCTTTTACAGCAGAAAGTGTAACACAGCCATCATGAATGATAAAGGTGCAGAGTAGGCTAAGTGCTAAAGAATTTTTTAGAATCGCATATTACATCACAAGCCTACGTTTAAACTTGTGAAAGTATTAACAACACGTAAATGAAAATCCCCTTAGTTTATACACTAAACTAATCTTGTTAATATATTTATTTAACTTTAAAATTAGTGACGGTGTTAAAGGCAACTATCTTTACCTCATTATTACCTCTTTCACCCTAATATCTGATACTATCATGACTGTTACTTTGACGTTTTATTTCTATTCCTCTTGAGAACTGAATATATGTTTACACTGTTTGAAACCTATTGCCCAAGAACGCTGCACGTTTAGTACAAAATTCTAACCACATCATACAAACTGATAAAAGGAAAAAAAATTGTCTGGAAGAATCCAAATCTAAATACAGCACTTGACGTAATTAAAAAGTTTTATTAGAAAATTACCAGGAGGACCGTGAAGTAATATACCACGTGGTACACGGAGGAGTAAAGCAGCATCTGCTTTGGCTTCTGGACTATTGGGTTTGGCAGCACTGATTAAACGATCTTGTATCATTGTTCTAAATATTAACTTCAATTCACTATATCCACCAATATCTGTCCATCTTAAAGGATCCACGGATGTTATATGATGAGAGATATTGATTGGTAAATAGGATCTAGACTCAATTCTCAAGATTCTGCAGAATAGATCCAGTTGTTCGTTGAACGTCAAAACTTTTCGCTTTACAGAATCCTCCAAGCAGTTGTGCTGCGTAGCCACAAAACTTGCATATGTCACTTGAACCAAACGAACTAGATCCCTTTGAAAAAATATACATATAATTTCAGTCAAAAGGTTATACCTCTGAAAAAATAGCGGTATATAAAATGTCACACAAAACACTACTGGTTACGTACAGACGACATCACGACATGTGACAAACGCAGATAAGGTTAGATTGCCTGAAATGTTTGTACCATCGTTCCAGCTACTTGTGTTGTAAAATCAGTAGAATTCCCTGTGAAACTCTTAGCTACTTGTCTTAAGTGCTAAAATGTTCCGCGTCGGTGGCACAGCGGTTAGGACTCTCGCCGACCATGCACATGGTCCGGGTTCGATCCTCGGCCGACGCACACATGACATCAATGGTTGGCCTGCTAAATTTAGGCTACCGATATCACACGCTGGGAATTCCATACTTGTACCAAAAATATAGTGTGGAATGAAGCTATAATCAAAAAAATAGTAAAACTAACGTTCTTAGATAAGCAAAAAAGAAGCGACTGTTACTCACAATCCATGTTTTCATTCATTACTTTTGTTTTCGATATACATCTAGTTGTCGCTTTAAAGCATACTCTTAGTCAAATTGTAAATAATTCGTTTTCCCCCCCCCTCAGATGATACATAGGTCCACTGAAAAAAATCTTCGTCCATTAATTAGTTGGCTAAAAATTACTACCACTACCATGGAACATAGGCATTAGCGGTATATAGGGTTCCTAAAATAGACTCTTCGACTATGCCTTTCATTTCAGTTTGATGCTACTTCATACACGACAGGATAGGTGATGTGTTCCAGTCTCAGTAAGAACACTATCACTCCCTGGATTGCAAGTAATCAGTGATAAACTGAAATGAAATAATCCGACTCCACTTCAGACAAACACAGATCCAAGAGCATTAAAACAACAGAAATGAAGTGAATGTACTTACTTCGGTGTATAGCCATGCAACTGAGCTGCAACCTGAATAAGATTTTCGTTCTCGTCAACAGTATTATATGACTGATCATTCATAGTAGAATCTTCGGAAAACGGTTCGTGTTTAACAATCTCCTTGTCATGATGTAAGCGTAAATAAATATTGTGATACAAAATCTGATAACGTCTCGTTGCATCAGGAAGCGATACCAACAGTCGTCTATAGAAAAGCTCTCTACATTCATGAATACTGAAAACTTTATCTATTGTGGTAGCTGTTGCCAGAATACAGAATCGATAAATTATTTGCTGATCGAAGACAGGAGTTTGATTAACACACTGAATTGATTCCATAAGCCGATCTAAAACTACAGAAAACTTTTTCACCTCACTGTTTGTATCCACTGCAGAAGTATGATAATTACCATCCCCATTTTCATCAGAGTCAATCCATTTATCGATGTTTGGCCATAATATGACAACTGGAATGTAAACTTTGCCATTGATTTCTGATTGTTTAACTGAATTTTTTAGCCAATGATGTGCACCAATTCGCTCTATTATAGATAAACGATGAGAAGATTCATCAGTTAATTCCTTGATTAGTTTGGAAGTAAGTGTAATAAATGTCAAACTTTTGTGGGGCTGCAATAAAGGAAGACGTTAAAAATTATCTTACTAGTATGTAAGAAAAGATATTGAATCACAGTATCTCATAAACAAATAACAAAGATTTACCTCAATATCTGAATCCGCATAATTTACACCATCAGTGAGACTTTCGAGAAACGTGCGTTTCCCGCAACCTGGTAGTCCATATATGATAATGCCAGCTTCTATAGTGGCAGTCAAAACAGTCTTATTTCCTTCAACGCATGTCAATAGAAAGTTTTGTAGATAACCAAATACCACACTTTTAACAACATCTAAGCCACATAAATGGTATTTGTCGTGATTGGTATAGTCGTCTTTTGCAGTCAACCTGGAAGTTATTGAGCTCCCCATATCGACTGATAAACTAGGTAGATTTCTAGTTTGGACTAGAATCAGTTGGGTGGAAGTACCGATCTGAAACAAAATCAAAATGACAACACTAGCTTAACATATGACATTTATGATCATTATATAATAAAGAGAAGTTTTGGTTTAAATCGAAAATATCAGTTGAAATATTGACATATGTTCTCAAGCATTAGATGATATTGAAAATCAAATGTCCATACAAATCATATATTCATAATACTAATAACATATATGCTTTTGTTACACCTACTGATAATACATATTCCCTAGTGCCCAAAAATTACGATGACGTGGGAGGATATAAAGGATAAAGGTCATCATTCACTTAGAACTTCCGATTACAAAAATATGATTTTATGATGATCGAATAAGTGTAACATAAACAAAACTTCTACTTTTGAATGATGATATTCCGTATTGCAGTCAACGCAATCTGGTGAAAACCACACCAGCCTTTCGAATCTGTATCATGATTTCAGTGGCCAACAAGGGACCAATGAGACTTCCCATATGCGCTAACAGGCCAATCACTGTACTCCATACTGTCAAACAAAGTAGAGAAAAGGGTAAACTATCAAGTGATAAATTGCATTTGTGACAACAGACGAACCTTGAAAACGGTCAAATTATCGTTCGGTGTTCAAAAGACTGCAAGTTATCAGTACCTTCACTAGGTATCGTATATGTTAAGACCCTGACAAATCGATGAAAATGTACGACTGAATTATATAAAACAAAGCAAGAAATTGTGAAGAAATCACAGAATTTCACACACCACACCTGGAGTGCAAACATGCATATACACTTAGTACAAACTCATCGAGTATCTGTTTATTGGTCGTGTGTCTCCAAGAATCCAGTGATGACTGTCCCATAGAACTATCAGATATCACCTTTTAACGTGAATAAAGGCATGCATGCCATAGGCTAAGACTTTTATTTACATCTCTGAGAGAAATGAAAACAACTTCAGATCTAGATTAAACAACTATTCAACAACCCCAGCTTCCAACAGTTTCGGAGATTTCAGTCCTAGATTAAAAACCATATAATCAATTTCTTAAGACTACCAAACGCTGGTAACGCATTCCTATAGATTATGAAGAAACTATGAGAAAACTGATTACCTTATGACTGCCTAGAGCTTACTCAAAAGTTTCGGTAAAAATAAATTCGACGTAAGAGTAGAATTTGGGTACTTTCGTAGAATATAATTCCATATTAGCCTACTTTGTCTGATATAAAATACCATGATACAGTATTAATAACTGAATGAAGTTTTGAGAACGATTTATTCCTTATAAGCATATCACTGCATTCAAACAACTTCATAACTCGCTTTAAATAGTCTTACTCTGCTGTTTTTCATCACAGTTTACCACATATACAAGATGTGCTGCACCAATTCGATTGCACATGTTTAGTGTTGATTCGATGAACAAAGATTCGGTGATTAACTCTTTTCTCCACCTAACTATATTACTTTTTAGCACTTTTGCTCCATACCACCCTATTGTGTGACTTTGTGCAAGTAAATACATTGCATCGGCCAGTTATTTTCTAAATTACTCAACTTCGCAGGGTCAGTCATTCTAGATCTGACTAAATTCCTACGTTCCAATAATCCAACTTGCCTTAAAGTTATCATATAATATTTGGTGAATTTCCTAGTTGGGTGTATCGGATCCTTAAGCCGTCAAGTAAGCAGCGCTACAGTGCTAAATCTCTAATATATGCTTAAATGTTTCTCTTAGCTATTTATTTCTAAAGTGCTACGTAAAATGTTATGTTTACTGATACGAACTCACTTTAAACACAAGATGATTAGAAACAGACTGATTAAATTCACATGACCAGGAGTCATTAGTGTTGCTGAATGATTCAAACGAGAAACTGAAGTTGTCACGTCGAGAGATGAATCGGGTTCCCTTTTGAAACTGTGAAATCAAGTAGTTAAAAATATGAGGCAATTCTGACTGAATAAAATTACATTGATAAAAAATCTGCAAATTGAATCTGAGTTTCAAACTGTCTGCAATGTGACTCACCGAACAAAGCATTTGAATTTCAGCCAACTGGCCCCTGGTTTGAATCCCACCCCACCTACTTTAGTCTGGGTGGTTGGGTAGAATCATCATTCGTTACACAATAAGTGTGAATCATATTCCGGTTCACGAAAGCTCTGTTCTGGGTAACTGAGCTTAAACAACAATGTGATGCAGAATCTCATTGTCAATTTCCAGAAGCAATAGCAAACTACTTTAGTAAAGGGAGTGAATGGGATCCAGATGACGACTAAACTTGAAACAAAACCTGATGTGAGGTACGAATTAAATTACTATATTGTTAAGGCCGTTTACCTTAGATATGTTAATTACTGTGAAAGGTCTCATAAATTTATCCTGTCGGGTAAGAACTTTTCCACTGTTTCGGATCACCGAATTTGAAAGATAAGCCAATGATTACGTACATTTTCTACTAGAAGAGATTCATATTGCTGTCTGGCTTTTTAGTGCTACAACTACCTTAGTGTATGGCGAACTGACTAGATCAATATGTAGTAATTATCTATGAAGTTACTGACTTAATAAGAAACTCGTAAAGGAATGTAGCCTCCCCGGCTGAATCTAAGCGATAGTACAGTCTCCAGCTAAAGACTCAAGAGAGTATGACTGGGAGCAGACCTTGGTGGTACACATTCACTTATCTCTCATCATTATCTTATTTGTAACATTTAGATTTTGTCTGCTTTCTTATTCCCCCTTTTCTTGGAGCTTTTGACCCTTGATTGTATCAATATCTTTTTTTTGTCTTTCTACTTATTTGACGTGAAATGTGGTAACTTGAAACACCTCATAATGCTGGTCTCTGTTTAGGATGATTGAATAACACGTGTTTGGAGCACACGAGTGGAAATAGAGACTGTATGCAGCTCAGCACCCTCATCAGATAGCCAAGAATTACGAAATACCTTGCCTGCAAACCATCCAAACCAAGAAAACTACAGACAAATACAGAAATAACTTACTATTGTTGTCTTGCATTACGAATAAAAATTGATTCTCCAGTTGTAGAAATTGCTTCAATACACTGAAGTGAGAAATAGTCTCCTAGAGCTCGAACAATCTCAGTTGTTCCGATAAGTAAATGAGACATTTCTATGCATATCAAATATTAATGTCAGACGACTTACGTAGCCTATAGTGTACACTTGTTTCCAGCAGCGGAATTAAAAGAGGGTTTACTGGTGTTCTAAATCACACGGAGATTACTTTATAATAAGTTACATTATTTCCAGCTTCAATAACTTCGCTGGGAATACCCGGGCTGGCAGTTGGACAGTAAGCTTTTCGGACAAGTTTGCACCAAATCTGGATATGGTAGCATCGGGAATTTCGACCTCATCAGAAGAGGAAACTCCAATAGTTGCAGGGAATTTGTCATTGATAACGACGACTTGAAAGACATGAAGTTGATTTTTTCGGATAAAAGAACGAGGAAGTAAGATATCCGGCTTCATCTGTTAATACAAGTAGAAAATACCGAATAGCTTGGTAAATTCCAGATATTAAAATATGTCAATTTACTAATGCACACTTGTCAAATAGGCATCTGTAAATTAGTGAACTAATGATACTCAAAAGACAATCAGAACAATGTACACAATTTATTACTGCTTATCATAACAAGCTTGAGGTATTTTTTGAACCGTTTTTTACATAATTATAGTGGCAGATTACCATCTAAATAAAGGTGTTAAAAGAGGCCAACCATAAAAGTGGAGGGTGAAAAATAAGACAGATAATATGCCTTTTTAACAATGAGAGGAATTCTTGTTCCTGTTGTCCTAATCACATCAAAAGCTACCTAGATTTACAATGAGTAATTTAGCCAAATGTATTAGATTTCACTTTTCTTGGGTACTGCGACATCTTTTTCCATCTTTTTTAGTATTGTCTGAGTAGTGCAGTCAATTAATACCATAGTAGCAAATATCGCCTTTGACTGGACTGCAAACCTCTAGTAGATAATAGGATAAACAGCGGTGACTGCAACCACTGGTTTGATTAAGTCTGCACAGGCCTACAACCCTTCACTCACAGGATGCAACAAACCATTATTTAAGCGGATGTGTACCTTTGGCATTAAGTTTTATTCAAACCATGACTGAACTTCTGGTATCCAAGAATTGGCAAAATAAGTAGGTGAAAATAAGAATTTGGCATCTAAAGTCACTGTCATTAGTGGAAGTCCTGTGAAGAATACTCATCTCGCATTGACTTTGGGCGCACTGCAGAATGTTTGGGGCAAACTTAAGGGCCTTGTCCCACGTTCGGTAGTGCGACCGAAGAAAATGCTAGATGGGATTAAGCTGAAATCACGGCTGAAGACATTCACAAAAGTTATCAGAGGATAACTAAGCTTATTAATGATTTGATGCCCTTTTCCCAGTATTTTCAATCAGAAACTTATTATCACAATGTTCAAACTCACACCCAATTAGAACCAACTGCCTATCCCTCCCAGCTGCACGCGGTGAACATCAAAAATCCGTCACTCTAGGTCACAAACTCCAAGGTTGCCTACACAAAAATACCACAATATGTTTAAACAAATGACTGTGTTTATAGAAAAAAAGTAACACGAAAATGCAAACTTTTGGATTTTGTTAACCAAATGTTGTTTCGATCAAATTATTGGTCCTGGTTAATGTAGTTTCAGACAGCTTTCTAAGGAGGGAATTGTTTAGAAATGCAATAGTTTTAAGTGACGACAGTGTTTATTCTACTTATCATAATTCATACTTCATAAACTCACTAAATTTTCTCATTTTCTTTCCTCTGGGGCACCATCAGCATTATGATTACATCAGTATCTGAAGTGAATATGTTGGGGTCATAACTGTAAGCCTTCTAATACAAGATTCAGATTCAGATTTATTGGTTGAGGATAGAAGGCTTGGAGCCTATGTTAATCCTTTTCTAGTAAAATTCTGTGGTTGTCCAAACCCTTCTTGAACGAATCAACTGAGTTTGCAGACACCACTTCTTCTGGGAGTCGGTTCCAAGAGTTTATGACTCTGTGTGAGAACCAGTACTCAACAGCAATATGATTTCTTCTTGGCTTTTGAACTCTCCTGCTATGTCCTCTAAGGTGTTCCGACCTGGCGGGAAGGAAAAGAGAAAATAGGTCGGGTCCTTAGTCATTATTTAAAATTTTAAACATTGTGATTAAATCTCCTCTCTGCCTACGGTATGACAAGGAGAAGAGATTTAAACTGTCTAGTCTTTCCTCGTATGATAAGTTAGTCATGCCATGAATCATACGTGTTGCTTTCCTTTGAACCCTTTCTAGAATTTGTGAGTCCCCTTTTAGACAAGGGCTGGCGGCCTGGATGCAGTTTTCCAGTCTTGACCTCACCAGGGATGTATATAAGGAGGTGAACATATCTCTGGTGATTCTGGTGAAGGCTCTACGAATTGCCCATAATGACCTGAAACTACGTGCAGCCGCCGCGCGACAGTGTGCTGTAGTTTTTAAGTCGTGGCTAACTATGACACCTAAGTCCAAGTAAGTCTGAACTGATGGAAGTGTAATTCCCTCTAGTTCATAAGAGCTCGTGCTTGCTTGTCCAATGCGCATGGTTGCACATTTTGTCACGTTTATCGGGAGCATCCATTCTATGCACCACTCTGACAATTTGTTGAGGTCCTCTTGCAACGTGGATGTGTCACTGTTGCCCTTCAGCTCTCTCCAAATTTTTAAGTCATCTGCGTATAGGACCATAGGGGAATCGGTGAGCAGAGATAACTCATTGATATACAAAATAAATAGGAGAGGTCCAAGTACCGTGCCTTGTGGCACTCCGCTGCGTACTGCTGTCCAAGAGGAGAGTTTCGAGTTGATCCTAACCCTCTGCCTCCTATCTATGAGGAATTCCCTGAGCCAGTTTAGTAAGCTGCCTTTGATAACAAGACTTTCCAACTTCATGAGTAGTCTTTTGTGAGGTACTTTATCAAAGGCTTTGCTGAAGTCTATGAAGACGACGTCAACGGGTCTTCTGTTGTCCCTGGATTTAACCCAGCTTTCTCTTGCAGTGAGAAGATTTGACAGGCATGAGAGGTTCCTTCGGAAGCCATGCTGTGCTCTTGATAAAAAGCTTCTATTTTCTAGATATGCCATGATGCTTTTCTTAATGATTCTTTCCAGTGTCTTGATTAAAGTGCTGGTGATACTGATAGGCCTGTAATTTGAAGGGCTTTGCCTTGATCCTCCTTTGTGGATGGGGGTTACTATGGCGTCTTTCCAGTCACGCGGTAACACTCCATTTTGGAGAGAAAGCTTGAAGATCGTAGTAAAAGGGCCGGCTATGTGGGCTGATAACTCCTTGAGAAGCCTTGGGTGAAGATTATCAGGACCCATTGATTTCCCTGCATCTAGTTTCCTTAGGCAGTTGAGCACGATGCCTTGGTCGATGTCAACGGAATCTATCCCATGTTCTTCTGATGCAGCCAGAGCTGATCCGGTAGGCAGTGACGACTCCTGAGTGAAGACTTGGGAGAAGTAGTTTGCCATTGCTTCTGCTTTTTCTTGATCTTCTTCGATTGTATCATTGTCAATAGTCAGGTTTGGGACACCATTGGATGTTTCATTCCTGAAGTTCATGTACGAGAAAATTTTCTTAGGTTGTGCCTTTGCATTTTGAGCCAGGTGTGCTTCGAATTTCATCCTTGATTTGCGGATTTCTGCAATAGCTTTATTTCTAGCAGTGTTATGTAATTGCCTGGTCTCAGAAGTCTCAAGTGTGGCAAACAAGCTCCAACATTTGTGTTTACGTCTAAGTAACTTACGAATCTCTCGGTTTATCCAAGGAGGGCAGTGTTTCCGACCCTTTGGGACAGACCAAGGGATGAAAGGTTCAGTTACTTGGGCGTAAAGTTGTTTAAATTGGTTCCATGCGGCTTCTACTTGAGACTCTGGGTTGATGTACCAGTTTACTGAGTTGGCTGCTGAGACGATTGCATTTATATCAGCTTTCCAAACGTTTGGTCAAGATGGAGTTTTGGCCCTTACTGCCGTTGCTGTGAACTTGAAAGTGAGCACAGCATGGTCACTTCTTCCTAAAGGAGGAAGATGTTGTATGAGATCTACATCCTCACCATGGGAGAACACTAGGTCCAGAGTTGAGGAGGAGTGCTGTGAGTCATAGCGCGTGGGCTTGATGATATGTTGGACTAGAGCTAACGATATACTAGATTCCAGCAGTTTATAATCAAAGGAGTTGACTGAGGATGGAGTTGTTAGGCTCGTTCAGTCAACTGTTGGGGCATTGAAGTCACCAACTACGAGACTTCGACATTTCGAGGTCCAGGAGCCTAGCTTCTCTATCAGGAAGTCATCTGCACTGCAGTTAGGACTGCGGTACATAGCAATGAGGTCAATGTCTTGGCCTATGCATTTAAGTCTGCAGCGTAGAAGTTCGCACGACTCACTTTCGTGAGTGAGTGCTTCGATACTACGCACGGTTAAGCATTTCTTGAGGTAAATGACTACGCCACCTCCTTTGCGGTTTAGTCGGTCTACCCTATGCACTTCGAAGTTTGGCAGGTTAACTTCGCTGTCAGTGACATCGGGTGTGAGCAGGATTTATCTGCCTGCTACTCACCGGTGTGGACGAGGCTTGATCCACTAGTACCTGGGTGACTTGAGTTGCGGGTTTACGACCCCTGGTACGCCTCTTCTTTGTGGCAGTCCTTCTGTTACTGTCACTGGAGGGCTTATCCAGTATCGTGCGGGCAGCCTGGGTGACTGGAATGTGGTGAGTGCTCTTCTGTGCTGAAGGGCACTCAGTCATTGACAAAGACTCATTAGGAACATGTACTGTTCTGTCGATGACGCTAGTCACATCTTCGGTGTCTGAGAAGCAGTTAGTCTTCTCCTGTGATGGAAGACCCTTGCAGTCCATGAGCTTTAAAGCCCCGCTAAGAGTGGCAATGGCTTCTGTAATACGGAGTTTGGTAGTACTACAACAGTCATTGCACAACCAGTTTTCTAGAGGTTTACAGCAGCGTTTGTATGCTGCAGGAGTTAGGTTTGTGCACATACTGTGAAACCATCTCTTGCAGTTATCACACTGCATTCCCTCATCCACTGAGAATTGGCACATAACCCTTCCACAGCGGTTTTTTTTGATGGGCATACTGTCTAGAACAGACTGGCGAAGAAATTTAAATATAACTTAGATGTATATAGACCTTTATAAGTCAGCGGTAAAAATCGATGAGTGCACAAAATATATATACAACTATTATGTTATAAAAAAAATATAAAACAATTTCCTATAATTTAAATAGACTCAGATCTGAAAAGTAAACTAACTTTGATCAGAATAAACTGATTTAAAGTTAATCTGTAGACTTTTGGAGCGTATAACACAACAAAAGCCAAAACTAAACAAGAGCGTGTAAAAGTCACTCCCTTTTCAAAGTTCGCGCGGTACCATTGGAACTACATTGGAAC